CTGTGTAGTGTAGAAGATGCATCATCTTTACACTTCTAATGCGGTTCTTGTGTGGCCATCGGAGCCTTGTACAGAGGTGCGAGGTCCATGGTGGGGTATTGGACACATTTCCCCCCCCACCCCACCCACAGGGGGCACAGCCGTAGTTTTCGCCACCAGCCGTGGTACCACCTGAACGGAACCCGTGGGGCTTAACGATGGGTCATACGGTAACCCTACAGCGAAGCAACACAGTTGATCATGTCCTGTGTCGACTGGAGTCTTGTGTAACAACATACCGCTGGGGAGGGGCAAGCAAGGCTTTTGCCCCACCAGTGAGAAGGCCGTGTTCGGTCGCTGTACAGCTGTGGGTAGGAATACTTGATGTGCTGGACGCCTCACCTGCTGCCCGCTGCTGTGCACTGTACGTGCACATTCCACACGCTTCTACCGGTGTTGATGTGTCGACAGAAGCCTTGAAGGGCTACATACAGCAGTGGGATTCGTGTAGCTGAAGGAAGTCTGCCTCAAGAAGAGTAGAAGGCAGTGTTCGGTTCTCATTGGGTGCGTGTAAAGTTGTGGGCAGGAATACTTGATGTGCTGGTCGCCTCACCCGCTGTTGGTCGCTCTACGCGCATGTTTCAAACACTTCTACCGGTGTTCGTGGTTCGATTGGTGTCTTGTGGGCGGGGATACAGACGGGGGGAATTTATACACTAATCCCCCCCCGGGGGGCAGGTTGGGGCAACAGATATATTTTGCCCATCAGCCATGGCTGCACCAAACCTGCACCGTTTCGGCTGTTCGGTGGATCTCGCGATAGCCCTACATCACAGCAACACAGCCGTGCATGTCCTGGCTCGATTGTTGCCTTGTGGGTGGGGATACAGACGGGGGGGGTATTTTGACACTAATCCCCCCCCGGGGGGCAGGTTGGGGCAACAGATATATTTTGCCCATCAGCCATGGCTGCACCAAACCTGCACCGTTTTGGCTGTTCGGTGGGTCTCGCGATAGCCCTACATCACAGCAACACAGCCGTGCATGTCCTGGCTCCATTGGCGTGTGGCGGGCGGAGATACAGACGGGGGGGTATTTAGACACTAATCCCCCCCCGGGGGGGATGCTCATAAATCCCCCCCGGGGGGGGATTTAGACACACACCCTTTTTCTCGATAGAATAGTCTACATGTCGTTTCCCAGCGAGGCATCTTTTTGTGTGAGAAAAAGGATACAACACATCATTTTTTTCAAGGGTTTACTCGCGCCGTGAAATTACCGCCGTGGTGGGCGGTCCCGGTAGTCCGCCGTTTTACCGCCGTTTTTTTGTTTTACCGCCTCCGCCAAAGTCGTTACCGCCGAAAAACATGTTACCGCCTTCCGCCAAAACAATTACCGCCGCATGGCGTTACCGCCGAAAAAATACAACCGTTGTTTGGTTTTTCCGCCTCCGCCTGGCCGTTACCGCCGAAATATACGTTACCGCCTACCGCCAAAACAATTATCGCCGTATGGCGTTACCGCCGAAAAAATACCGCCGTACGGCGTTACCGCCGAAAAATTACCGTCATATTGGTACATCGACGGCCCGAGTGACTAGATGTCTAGCCTCGGCCGCCATGCTAGATCACTGAGCGGCAGGAGTTCGGATTCGCACGTACGTGGGCTTGCTTGTTTTTGTTTTCAAACATATTTTTCATTTTTCAAAGATTTTATTTCATCTGTCCTTTGGTTCTGGGTTCAAGTTCGTTTTTTCGTTTTTCCGCTTTCATGTTTTATTTTTCGACGTCGTGCTGACTCTAAAATGTGAAACCCACTTGGTGAATACGAGAAAACAATCCATGAAAGTGCATTGTCAATCGTCGAAAACGAGGTTTGCCATCTGTTCGGACGCCGTAACTCGGCACCGCACTTGCGGCCTTGTTTGGTGTCGCTTGAAGTTGTGGCCATATTAATATGTACATGGCAATAGCACTCATTACCGCCGTGAAATTACCGCCGTGGTGGGCGGTCCCGGTAATCTGCCGTTTTACCGCCGTTTTTTTGTTTTACCGCTCCGCCAAAGTCGTTGCCGCCGAAAAACGCAGTACACCGCCTTCCGCCAAAACAATTACCGCCGTATGGCGTTCCTGCCGAAAAATTACCGCCGTTTTTTTGCTTTACCGCCTCCGCCAAAGTCGTTACCGCCGAAAAACGCATTACCGCCTACCGCCAAAACAATTACCGCCAAGTGGCAGTACCGCCGAAAACAAACCTGTCCGCCTAAAAAAACGTTACCGAGTAAACCCTTGAATTTTTTCTCTGCCGCAATACGGCAAACCGCAAGAGATGCCCCGTCTCGTGTTGCGGATATCCCAGATCGCCACGAAAACGATGCGGGGCCGCGCAACGTGGCAACGCCTATATTAAACGCTGGCGGTTATTGGTGTCCACTGATTACGTGCTGCCGTTACTGGCGTCACCGCCAAAGAGAAGGGAAACCGGGGGAAGCGCGACAAGAATCGGTTGCGAACGAGGCTGGTACCGACATGGCAAGCTCCTACATGAGACACGTGGTCCTTGTTTTCCGTCGAGCGTTGCGGCTGTGCATAGTTTCACGAGCGTCGAGGTCTGATGCTACTTACTCCGGGCTGTTTTGCTGAAAATGTGTTCGAGGATGTGGGTGTTGATCATGTTGATGATGATTGTCGTGTGGTTTTCCTACAAAACGCGTTGCTACAAGCGCAGCCGTTGAAGGCCCATTTTTGGTGCACTTGATCGTTGCATCTGTGCACCACTCGTCAAACAGGGAAGACCTGCGCTATCGAATGCATAGGTGCAACCTTGGCCTACCTCGACCAAAACGTGGCGGAGACCCGACCTCGACCGGTGGCCACATCACTCCTTCGGCAGCAAGAACGTATACAGCAGTAGTTCCGCCTCAAGTGTACCCCCCTAAAAAGTCAACCTACTGCAAAGTCCATTACTACGCCCTCCTAATGGGAGACTTCCTTGTCACATCGCTGACGGACAGGAGGAGCGATTACACCGTGGCAAACTGGCCTTGTCAATGTGCCCGGGGGGACAGACCCTCGCAACGATACCGTCTACCCTCCCAAGCGGGATAAGTAGCATAGTTCATGAAGTTATATATATCACCGTAGTCATTTCCAGAGGTGAAAATCATTCCTCCGTAGTACCTTCGCGTGACTGCAGCCAAAGGACGCATGTCAACATGAGCCCTGTGAAACTGCTTGGTGGTTGATGCTTACAAACGTCGGCTTGTCGGCTCATCATGGTAAGGGTCACCAAACAAGGCTGGCTAGACGCCACTGTTGCATGTCGGCAATGCTCATCACGCATTGATTTTCAAATATCGTGTTCGCTGGAGAGATATATCGTCATTTGTCCACGTTGATGCCTACACTTTGTTCCTGCGATAATGGTGGACATCGCGTCCATGATGATGGTATGGGTGTCGGCGGTCCTTCCTGTTCTTCATGGTGACCCACCAACAAATATACGCACGCACAGCAGTGTATTTACACCGAGAGAGAACAGTATTGTCAAGCAAGTACTCGAGCAACATGCCCCTAGATCCTCAAAAGACACCACCCATCACCGTGAAGATCGCCTGCCGACCAAACCACAACCCGGCCGAGAACAAGTTCGCTCAGTGACGGTCCAAGTCCAACACGAGAGAGAGGGCTACTATTTCGGCTTCGCCGTCGACAGGAAACTCAATCGACGCAGCAGCTGTCCCATCAGGAAAAACATAAAAAAAACACGTCTTTGTACGCTTTTCTACCTCAGAATCCGCGGGCGGATGCGACTGGTTCTTCCTCCCCCCCGAACATCTCGTTGACGATGTTGGCAACGCTGATACCTGGGCCGAGGTAGCTCGACTTGCGCGTCTTGATGGCGTGGAAGAAGAGGGCGATCGCCTTCGTTTGCGTACCGGAGACAGCCAAGGGAGAGAAAACCGGCGTTGGTCGCGAATGCATGCGTGCTTGCCGAGGGGAGCGGGCATCGGCGTGAGTGAGGAGGCGTTTTACGGTCTGATACGTAGACGGCGCTTTGCAGCACGCTTCCCACTCGGTTTGTTCAGTTTTCGCAACTGTGTCCAAAGCAGGAGGAAAGCCCAACTATAGAAGTACTCCCATCTTCGGCGGGGTGTTCTGCATGCCCGTGTATTTCCGCGCGCAGTCAGTCCTATCCAGCAAGGGCGTGTGATGCCGGTTAATGAAAGCGATCAGATTTCGCGTTCTGGAGTGACGTGAACAGGCTGCGAGCTTTCAAAATCTCGAAACCGCAAGCTCGTCTAATCCCGCAGGTTGCACAAGATACCACACCTCCTGGACCGATGTTCTAAGCTGGACTACTGTCCAGCAAAATACGGTGATAACGTCGGTGATGGCGTTGAAACCGTCGTCTCGTCCGGAGATTTCCTAAAAACGCATCGTTTCGTTTGAACTTGACATCCCCTTTGAAGCTCGGTCCAGGAGAAGTGGAATCTCATGCTACCTGCGGCACCCAATTTTGTTACAGGGTTCTTGACGGACCACACCTTACGGTCAAGCGAAAATCTCGTCATGTTTCTAGCCCGAACTCTTTTGACTCCCAGCTTCTCAACGTCTCAACGTACGGTGCGTTCTGAACTTAGTCGTCCACAGGAACGAAAAAAAACAGGCATCTCCGGAGAGCACAGACCGGGCTTCCGCCCACGCGTCCAACGGCTACATGGCCAAGCTCCAACAATTGAGAAGCAATCTGGCAAAAAAAAACACTTGAGGAACACCCTTTCGGGGCAGAGGCTTGATCAATATTGTATAGACACACGCACGAGAGAGTACGCGCTCTCAACAAAAATTTGCCTCCGCGTGACGCAGAAACACCGTAGGGGTCAGGATTCTCGTCTGTGTGGCCCCCAGTACCGGAGCCAGACGTAGGGAAGCAAAAAACGAAATCGACCAGCAACGTCGACAACAGTAGCCTTCGCGGGTTTCTTTCTATCAAGGAATCATGCTGGATAAAGCATACAATCGGGGAAGTTGGGTTAGGGTTAGGGTTAGAATACGGTCCGCGTCCCCCCTCCCTGTACTTTTCCTCATCAGCTTATTAATCGCGGGAAGGCGGTCAGTAGCCTTTCCAGGGTTGTTCTATAATATAAGCATAGGGTTATGGTTAGAATCGGGTGAAGGGTTAGTTGACCACAACGGGAGAACGAAAACTAACAAGTCAGAGGTAGAAAGGGGGGGTGTTTGTTGAACGTGTGTGCGACGTGGCGTACCAAACTTGGTCAATATAGGAAACACTGACGGCTACCAAACTGTCTTGGTGAGACTGTTACGCACAAGGGAGACATCGCTGTATGCTGCTTAGTAGCTTCCGCTGGAGCTATGAATTAATTGTGAATCTATCGAGACTCTTCTCTGCGGATATAGACGAATTCGTTGTCATACAAAAAAAATATATATACACTGTGCGCCAGGCCCTCGCCTTCAGCTCGCTGAAAGGAAGGGTGGTGGGTGAAGACTGGCACAGCATACCAAGGGCACGAACAAACTGGAGAAGACGTTCACCTCTATATGGTGTAGTGTAGGCTACAGCAACACTTTCGATACTACAGCGTCGTTGACAGAGCATTACGGAAGACAAATAAACTTGCAGTTCCTCCGTGAGATGTGCATGCGTGTTCGAAAAACTCAAAGCACAAGCAAGAGCCATGATGGCGTACCACAACAATAAAAAAAAGTCAAAGCACAACCAAGCTGTGGCGTACCACAACAACAATAAAAAAACAACCCTGGCTTCAATTCCTTCCTACAGCAGTAGACCTGTACTTGCAACTTGGAGGGTGTGTATTTCAGGCAAATGCACGTGAGGACTTGGAAATAATTACTAGTTAGCGTTGCCTACGCTAGAGAAGGCGACAGCATGCATGCATGCAGCGTGGGGGCACCACCTACAACACATGCCAATACGGAGAGCAGTCTGTCACTAGTACCGGTAGTAAAGACCACGCGGGGTTCTCCGAAATCTTGTCCAATGGCATGCGTTATTCTTTACAGGTGACAGTCCCTTGCGCATACGCGCCCGGATGCAGGAGATTTAGTGTGCTGTAACTCGGCTCGCCCTCGGAGTCTGGAGCGCGTGACAGGGGCGCTGTGATCGTAAGATTGGCACGCCTAGGCCAGCGAAGACAGCCGATAAAAAAGTTCAAACCCCATTCAGAAACGATTAACACCGATTTACAGCACCACAACGTCTAGCTCAATGACTGAAATAATGGTTGCGTGCATTCACAGTGCTGTAATATACTCGCCTTTGGGGTTTCGAGCTCGAGACAGGGGCGCTGTGATCCAGAGACTGGCCCGCTCCAGCGGGCAACGACCGGCAAAAAAAAAAGTCTAAAGGCGGCCGCGGACTGATGCACCCAAAAAAAACATCTTGTTTTTAGAGTGCAACAATGGGTAAACTCTTGCGTCTCAGGCTTCCCACATAATTGTAGTTGAGTCTATGCAGACAAATCACAGAAAAGCTACCCGTTCAAAAAATAAGGACACCCCCAAGTGCTGTAGTCTTTGCCGTGAGTGGGAGCAAATTCGGCACAATACTGCTGGGTGTACTTCAGTAGTCTACGCACGTTTTTCAAGGTAACCAAACATACTGGGAAAAGACAGAATCGTCTACGTTGGGTTAGGGTTAGGGTCTTGGTCTGCGTGCCCCATCCCTGGTCTTTTTTTTCTTCGTTATAACCGTACATTACTCGCCTAGGCAGTCCGGGCATATTTTGAGCCTATTTATTCCTTTACACTGTCATGCCGGCCGGGGGCAAACCACAAGAAACCTCTGTAGGGGGAAACTTCAAAAAGCGAGCCCCGGCTCGAAAAGAGCGTCCGCTTGAAGCGGCAGTTCCAAAGCAACTGCCAGCCTCAAAAATCGGCAGTTTATTGGAGGCTGAAAGAGAACGGAACCGAACCCACCTGGAAGCAACTGCCAGCCTCAAAAATCGGCAGTTTGTTGGAGGCTTAAAGAGAACGGAACCGAACTCACCTGGAAAACGTTGGTCGAGCCAGGAAGGGCGTGCCAGTACGCTTGGTCGGCTATCACGAAGAAGTGAGGCGGGTGCAGCACCTCGTTCCGCGTCAGGAAAAACCTGCAGGCGGGGGAGGGAGATTGTGTCACCATCCTGATTGTTCTGGCATCCGGCCTGTGCAGCCATCGACATTGTTCCACACGCAAGATTGTTTCATAATACACAACTGGTCCATCATCCGAATTGGGCTCTCGTCCCGATTGCATCCCAATTTGGCTATCATCCCGATTGGTCAATAATCCAGACTGTTTCACCGTCCCGATTGGTTCAACGTTCCGACTCTTCCATCATCCCGATCGTTTCACCATCACGATTGGTCCAGCATCCTCATTGGCCTATCTATCATCCGGATTGGTCTTTCGTCCCGACAGTTTCAACATCCCGATTGGTCTACCGTTCCGATCGCTCCACTATCCCGACTAGTTCCCTATCCCGAATGGTCTTTCGTCCCGACTAGTCAATCATATCCCCGATTGTCGATCATCCCGATTGGTCCGCCTTCCCCATTGGTCGAAGGTGCCGATTGGAACTCCATCCCTATTGCTCCAGCATTCCGATTGGTCCATCATCCGATTCCTCGGGCATCCCCATGGTCAACAATATCGATTGGTCCTTATATCTGTCATCCCGATTGGTCCATTATCCCCACTGTGTCACCATTCCGATTGGTCCAGCACTCTTAACTCTTCCACCCGACCGATTGTTCCAAACCCACGACTGCAACACGACCCATCATTCCAGACAAACCTCGGCACGGATCAGGACAGGACGACCATGGCTTTCAGGGGTGTGTCAAAAACGAGTTTGACGGGTCAACATGAGCCCAAAACATCTACAAGTATATTAATACTCTCCAAGGATCCAAGTAGATAGGGCGACATGAGGCCCCCACACACATCACAGGGTATGTAGCATACCCGTCCATTAGATGATACCAGTACTTCTTTCGGAAGCCGAAAATGTTTGTCGACATATCTCTCTGTACAGCCCTTTTACTTTCTTCCCAGCCCAGTCATGTTCGTTCATTTCTCTCTCGTCGAAAAAACGGACAGTTCCGCACCTACATGAACGCGGTCTTTCGCACCCGGCGCCGCACACACACTTCAACTAGTCTTCTTCGTCTACCTCCCTTCCTAAATCTTCCGGGGGGGGGGGGCACCTACGTGTGCGGGATAACTTTTATCGCATACCCGACGTGCGTACATGGTATGCTGGATAACTTTTACAGTGCTGGGGTGGCCATAGTGCAGGTTGAAAAGTGCACTTGCTAGGGATAGCGCCGGTGATAAATTATATGCTGACACAGATTTCAGCTGGTGTACAAAAACCTATATATTCCTCGATCCTGAATAGTGCAGGCAAAATCTCTGGACACGCCCCTGTACGATAGCGACCCCAGTACTGTACCGCATACCCTTGCTTTTTTGTTTAGTATCTTAAGTTTTGGGGGCGCAGTATCACCGGAGGGTGGGGAGGGTGTTATCGTACGAGACCAACCTGCCGGGAAGGGCATCTTGGCTAGAGGGTGCTCTGTCCACGAAAAACTGCCTGGCGAAAGGCCTGTCCTCCTCCCAGTCCCTGGGCAAGAGCTTGTCGCTGCAGCATACGAACAGCTTCATCACGATCGCCGCGTCCGTCGGAAGGTCGGCGGCCCAGTCGCGGCCTGCCGGATACCTATTACGTACACATGTAATGGAACATATACAAGAGGCAGCAGGGCCGCAGCGGGGGGGGGGGGGGGGGGGGGGCCCCCAACCCCGCCTTTCCTAAAAATTTAAACCATTAACCCCCCCCCCCCAAAAAAAGGGGGGGGGGGTGGCGGGGTTTCCCCGGGACAGGGTTTCCCATCCCCAAAAAAGGGGGGGGGGGGGGAAAAAAAAAAAAAAGAAGGGGGGACCCCCCCCTACCCCAAAATTTCTGGAGGCCCCGGGGCCAAAAATTTGGGAAATTTTCAATTTTAAAAAGAACCCTTTTTTTTCCAAAAGGGGCAAAAATTTCTAATTTTAACAAAAAAAAGGGGGGATTCCCCCCCGGGGGGGCAAAAATTAAAAAAGTTAAAAACTTTCCCGGAAATTCCCCCCCCCCCCCCGGGGAAAACAAAGGGGGACATAAATTCTCCCCCCC